TGTTAAGTTCATTTAGCTAATCTGTGTGTGGTCAGTTGGGAGGTCAGGTTTGTCAGTAGGGTTAACAGTCATATATTCTGGTGATAGAGGTAGTATGAACTTGAAGTGTTGTTCTATTTCAGCTAAGAATTTTTTTGCCAATGCTTTTTCATAAATAGGGAAGGTGTAGTTGCTTTGAGTCTTTACTGTTTTGGGATCAGCCAGGAGCCTTAGCTTTTGAACTATGTAGTCATTAGAAAGATGTTTAAATCCATAGTAGGGACAAAGAAGATTTGCGTATTTTTTAATATCCTCTGCATTTTTGGAGTTGCAAGAAAAGTAGCTTCTCAAATTGTGAGGTAGTTGCTGAGGGTTAAAGGGAGTGCAGGTTTAGGTGCGGGTAGGTTAAAGTATCTAGGTGGTATTTTCTCTTCTAGTTTGTACAGATTTCCTAGTTTACATCGATATTCAGAAAGGTGAGGGAGTGCTGCACGATCAGTAATAGGAAATAGATCTTTGACTAGGGGTGTAGTTTAGAGGGGTCTTCCGGGAGTTGTATGAGCTGTTCCTCGAAGTAGGATTCTGGTAGGGTTTCGAATTTATATATTTTCTGGAGTGCTGCCACTATAGCTTACGTGTGGTTGCGATTTTGTATCAGCAGTTTGAAAGGTAAGATTTCAGTGACGTCATCACTTATTTCTTTAAACGATGGTGGAAGGGATTGGAGTCTTTCAGTTATAATATCCCTAATTGCGCATCTTGTGTCTTCAAAGTTATTAGAAAGGTCGATTCGAGCAAAGTTTGTATAGTAAAATACTTTGCGCATAATGTCGTGGGCATTAGTTTTAATAAAGTCAATATTTGTTATATAGTCAATTGCAATCTTCTCTTTGAGTCTTTGCATAATCTGGTTCCTGTTATTTTTGTTTATGAAGTGGGTTTCATAATATCTTTTGTATTTTTCTAGGGCCATATTGAATAGTGCTTCGAACTCTCGTTGGTGTTGTGGTATTGTTTGCTTGTTCTGTGTGAAGGATTTAAAGAAAGCAGTATCATAGTAATTGAACTTAGAATTAATAGTTGCAGGTAAGTTGTATAAGGTGGGTTGTAAGTTAGCCTTATGTTGGAGGAATTCTGTCATTTTTTCTTTGTCCTGGAGTGCTTCTAAGATTTTGTCATTGTCCTATTTGGCTGAGTTAAAAGGTTTATTTCTTTGTACTAAGACGTGTACTATGTGCTGGTTCCATAGCAGGAAAGGTTTTGTTTGTATGTTTAATTGGCAAGATGGGGCTTTGCCTGCTGTCTAGCTGTACGTCCAGGGTGGTCCAGAGGTTACAGGGCCTTTGGCTTGGTCTCTGGGGTGGGTTGGTGTTGTTGTGTTCTGTTGCTGTGGGTCCATGTCTATTTGTTGTGATACCGGTTCCATTTTGTGGCCTGAGTCAGTTGTGTTTTGTTTGTTTTGTTCGGACTGTAGGAAAATTTCCATTAGGTCTGGGGCGTGAGAGTCAGTGTCATTCTAATTTGGCTTTGTTGTATTGGTATCTTGTAGTGATAATGTTATCTGTATGTTGTGTAACTGTGTGTGATCTGCAGACTGGGATAAACCAGAATACTCACTTTTTGGTTTGATATATAGATTGTGGCAAGAGTACTGTTGATGGCTTTTGTTGTTAGAGTTTCTTTTTGTAGTAGGTGGTGTGATTAGTAGTAGTTGAGTCATAAGTTCTGAGGGATTTTCTGGGTCAGTTGAGTTCTCATTAGGCATTGTAGTGCCGAATAGCTTCTCAGAAAATGATTGTAGGTAGGACTTCTGTTGTGACATGTTAGGGGATTGCTCCAAAGGAGCGTGAGTTGGTGTAGAAGAAATTTTTTGTTTCTAGGACTTCGCTGCACTTTGTCTGCTATGCAACAGTCTGTTCTTGGTCTAGTATCACTAATTTGTTCATGGAAACTCTAAGTTTATGGTTGTTTTAACTATTATTTAACTAACTTTATCTATTTGTTTGTTTACTTTTTTTTTTTATTTACTAATGATTTGCAGATTTACGGAAAAGAGTTTTTAAAAAACTATTAATATTTTACTTTTTTTTAAAAAAAAAATTAATATACATAAATGAATTCTTATAATTTCATTTCAATTGAAGAATCTGACATTTTTCCAAATATTGAAAACAATAATGAAATAACAGTTTTTATCCCACAAGAGTACTCTCTGATTCTTATTCATGAAGATGCTACAAAAAAATTAAAAACAATTAAGGAATTTCCAGAATTAAGGATATGTGTTCTAGCATTAATCTTTAACCCTATTAAATGTTCACAGAAGCCTTTTTTTTATTTCGAAAAGAAATAATTAAAGAAATAATTAAAGATAATCCAAATATAGATAGTCATCAAATTTCAAAAATTGCAGAGAATAAATAGAATAAACTATTGAAATTTGAAAAAACATGATATAAGCTACAATTCGAAAGGCTAAAAATGCAATACAAATCCAAAAACTTAAAATGTAAATATAAAACAAGAAAATAAAATTTACTTAAAAATCTTTCAATACTCTTTCGATTATTTTTATAGAGTATAAACTTGTAAATATAAATATTATTAAAATCTGTGACAAATAATTTTCAATAATTTAAATTTGTTTTTATAAATTAATGCGACTTAAATTATTAAATTTATAATTTAATTAAATTATTTTTATAAATAGTAGAAGAAATTAATTTTGGATAACTGATATTACGATCATTGCTCTTTATTGTAAAAACTCATATTATGTTTGTTGCTCTTTCTTGTACTATTGTAAAATCTGAAACTAATGACAATTGTTAATGCCAAACCTAAATACATCCACATGCAAATAAAATTTGCAGCACAAATTTTACATGCTGTTTCAATTATTTGAGATTCATAAGAGTATCTAAAAAATTAATGAAAAAGTAAATTTATATTTTTTTGAATAAAAATCGATAGCACAATCATCACCAAAAAAACTCAAGTCAATCGGTTAAGATACAGATAACATTATTGAATGCTACTCAGCCGATAACTTGTTTTCTAATATGTTATTTCTGGGCACTTTGAGGCTGGCACATTATGTCAATCACTGAATCGAAAAAGCAAATTTTAATTTACTTTATATTCGATATTTAAGTATATTTATATATCTAAAATTTCATGCTAAAAGCTTTTGCTTAGAAGTCAAACTATAGTTATCATAGTAAAATCGTGAGTTATTTACGATTTTTCTATTTTTTTTTATTGAAAAAACTGAAAAATTGTAAATAACTTAAGATTTTATTATGATAACCATAGGTTGACTTCTAAACAAAAGTTTTTAGCATGAATTTTTAGGTATATGAGTATACTTAAATATTGAATATAAAGTAAATTAAAATCTGTATTTAATGCTCTTTTGATTCAGTGATCAACATAACCTAGCACAGATTTGAGACATGCTTGAGGCTGAGAAGCTGACATATTAAACTTAACTAATAAATTATTTTACAAATAATTTTTGAATAACTAACGTATATTCAACTACTTATTATACTTAAGAATTCCGTTAGTTTGATCAAAAAGCTTAACCTTCACCTATTGCAAAAAATAAAAAATACAGTATTATTAATATTATATTGCCAGTATATTATTAAAATAGTGTTAGTTTGAAAAAAGGTTTTGCAAACTTGACTAATAATAATATCTTCATTAAGATATATAAGAATTTAGGATTTGTGAGTTTTAAAAAATAAGTTAGTTTGAAAAACAAATAAGTTAGTATCAGTAGGTTGAAAGTTGGTTAAAATTATTTAATATAGTTTGTTGTCAAGAATAGTATCTTCTAGATAAGTAAACCAAAGTGGTTTTTTCTCTTTAAGAATATGTAGAAGTTTTAAAAATAGATATAACTAGTCTAAAAGGATATTGTTGTTAGATAAACAAAATTGTTTAAGATAAAGAATATTTTTGTATCGGAGTTGTTGATTAAAGGTGTTGTATTTGGGGTAGTTAGGGAAGCACTATTTATCACCTGATTTTTAGAGTAGGAGGTCTCAGAAAATTATCAGGTTTTAATAATAAATGTCACAGCTGATACTAAAAACAGCTCATGCTAAAATTTGAGGTCTCTATTTAAATCTATAATACTTACTAAAATCCATATATACTTTTTTATTAATAAAACTACCCTACTAACTCTAACCTAACTATAAAAAAAAAGTGTAAAAAAAAGACCCTAAAATTTTTTATAAATTCATAATAAAATATAAAAAAATTTCAGTATCAGCCGTTTTCAGCATTAGCTGTGACAATAAATAATTTTGATTGGCTAAAAAAAAATTAAAAATTTTTAAAATTTAATATTAAATAACTTTTGACTCAGTGATCCGTTTTGCGTGATTTTACCACCAAAATGTCTGTCTCAATAAGACTATTCTAACAAGTCTAAAATTATCAAAAGCCAATTACAGAATTCTGAGATTGGTATAGATTTATATTACTTTAATTATATTATTTTATTTATATTAAGAATTAATTAATTTGTAATCGTAGATTACATATAAATTTCGTAACCGTAAATAATATTATATAGATGATCGAATCATGCAAAATCGATAATAGCAAAGTATATAGTAGTATATATATGTATAACGTCAATGATGGAATCAGAAACGTACATATATATAAAAAGAAAATAAACTTGTATCTAGTTCTTTTTACCGCAACAAACGAAGATAACAATAGAATAAAATCGTGAACATATACCTTTCCCAAAAAATTTTAATAGTTCAATCGAAGTTCAACAAATTGTGACAGTAATACTTAAAGTGTAAATACCTCAACCAAAAACACATCGCAAAAACCTAAAGAATTTATATGGTTGTAATATATTAGCTTTATCATATTTATAGTCATTCATAAGTATTCGAGAAGAAAATTGTAAGTTGAACGATTTTTGATGAAGAATATGCTCTACTAAAAGGTTAACTATTACTAAATACCTCTTACTATATTTTTAGCCTATGTTGAGTAACAAGAAAGTGGCAGCTTCCGATTCACAAGTTTCTTTTATATATTCCATACAACAAAGTTCACAGCTTACGCTGAGTAATGAGATATTACCTACTTTTAGTTCACAAGTTCCTTCCATATATCCAATACAACAAAATTTACAGTATACATTGGGTTATCCTAATGAAAAAAGTTTACAGCCTATGTTGAGTAATGAAGCACTACCAATTTTTGGTTCACAAGCTCTTTCTGTATATCCTAATAAACATAGTTTACCAAATGATGAAATATTACTAGCTTTTGATTCACAAGTTCTTTCTATATACTCTATTAAACAAAGTTCACAACCTATGTTAAGTGATGAAATATTATTGGCTTCTAGTTCACAAGTTTCTTTTATATACTCTATACAACAAGAATGTGCATCACCTGAATCTAATATGTCGAACACCAATGATATAGACAATAGATCTGTTAATTATGATATATCTGATGTAAATAAACAACAAAACGTTGAATTTAAAAATCAAGAAAAACTTGAAATTGTCCCCGGCTTAGTATTTCAAAATTGGGAACAGCTTGATCGTTATATTAGAATATATGCAAAACAAAATGGTTTTGTGTCAATTATTACTTGTTCTGAGTTTGATGAAATCACTCATAGAAGATGTTAATATGCTTGTGAACACCAAAGTGTAAGCTATTCAAAGAAGACAGTTATCCTAGAAAATCAAAAACAATCTCACACAAAATGGTTAGGCTGCAAATAGGTGATCAATACAACTTGTCCGAAAACAACTAAAAAAATTAAAATTACTTCCTGTAACCTTGAGCATTCCAATCATGAAATCCATCCTGATACTATTAATTTTGCTTCCTCTATCGACAATTTTCTGACGAAGTAAAACAAGAAATTAAGTATTATACTTCAAAAGTGTTAAATATGTAAACTTAGCTTTCCTTACTTGAAGACAAATATCCTAAGGTTCTTTTTTTGCCAAAAGACTTGTCAACTACAATACAGTCTTTCAAAAAGCATAACAAAGTTGTTAATGAAGCATCTGCTCTTCTAGAAACACTTCTTAATAACAAACTATAAGACCCAAGTTGGGTTGTTCATTGGCAATTAGATCCTATGTCTAATTCATTAGAATTACTTTTCTGGATAGAACCTAGTCAAGTTGAAACATAGATTCGTTATTACGATGTTATTATAAATAACAACACATACAGTACAAATTGTTTTAATATGGCACTTAGTTTCTTTGTGTATATAGATAATTATAATAGAAGCCACCTTGTTGCCCAAGCATTGATGAATGACAAGACTACTACAAGCTTTGAATGGGTTCTTTCTAAGCTTTTGGAATCTACTGGCTATCAACCACGTGTTCTTGTTACTGATTCTGATCTTGCGAATGAAGCTGCTATTGAAAATATAATGCCTGAAACCTATTGAATGAATTGTATATATCACATTAGTTAGAATCTCCCCAAAAATCTAAAAAGTAAACTTTGGATCAAATTGGAACGGGTTTATAAAAGACTGGTACAAGATGTGTATTAGTTTGTCAAAACAAGATTTTGAATCTGAATGGAGATTGCTTATTAATAGATATCCAACAACAAAACCTTACCTTGAATGAGCACTTTATAGTACAAAAGAGCGATGGGCATTAGCTTGGATTTCAGATAGATTTACTGCTAAAGTTCAGTCTACACAAAGAGTAGAAGGAATAAATGCAATTATTAAATCTGGTATAACAAGTAAAACGAGTTTATCCAAACTTGTTGAAGTTTTAGATTCTTAACTTGCTCGGGAATCAATGTATATTCGATATAATAATTGGTCTTTGGCTCATATTAAACCTACTAATATAACTACGTCAGCTCAATTATTGCCTGAAGTTGACAAATGGCTTGCAGAATTTTTAACACTGCCTATTTTATCTTTACAGAGAACTGAAATAGCAGAAGCTCTTTGGTACAGTGCACTATTAGTTTCTAAAGAAAGTATTAATATTAGTTTGTTATAAGAAAAAAGCGAGATTGATTTTTATAAAAATCTTGACGATTTTCCAGCAACAAATGTTAATGAAATTATTTCAAGTCTATCTACTTTTTCTATTCAAGAAATTTGGGAGATTACTTGTTACCGGGCATCTTATAAAAATTATGTTATTATACTTAACAATGGCAACCATATTTGTACATGCCTGAGACTTATTAATCGGGGTCTTTTTTGTTGTCATTTTGCAATAGTTATGACAGTTTCACAAATTGCAGTGTTTCATATTCTTATGATTTCACGACGTTGGTATTCAGATGAACATTATTCAAAATCAGATAAGTCATTAATATCTCAACCATCAATTACTTATCAAAATGAAAGTGCTATTTCAACTTCAAACTTCATACCTGATTTTACTCTTATATACCTGGGTTCTGATTTTTCTTTTAATATATTAAAAACACTTAACAATCGTCATATATATAGAGTTACAAATGGTTTCTGTAAAAAAGCTATAGCTGTTGGATTGGATGCTGGCTCTGTAGCAATGGAATCACTTAATAAGTTTCTAGAGAATTTTATTTAACAATATTTTGTGAATTCTAATCAACACTTGATCACTAATACTGCTTTAAGTGAAATTCAAGATAATGAATTAAGTGATTTAGATGATCAAGAAAATGTCTCACAATTTGATGTATCTACTATACAAGATCTGGTAATTAGAAAAAGAAAAGGAGCACCAAGAGTTAAGCGTATTAAAAGTTCTCTTGAAACAAAAAATATTCAATCAAATACCAAGAAAGAGAAAGCCACACGTTTTTGTTTTCGCTGTAAGCAGCCTAATTATTATGCTAAAACTTGCATCGTAGATCTTTAGCATATATATAAGGTCAGTAAATATATATCGATATAGAGTTAGAATAGCTAATCGATGGTTAATTGTATTAATAATTCAAGTGTTATTTTACCAACTAATCAGTACTTAGCTTTAAAGTTCTTAGTTTTTGTGTTGTGTACTATCGCTATATATTAACCAAATTTAGTTTCTTGCAACCAGGTTGAATTATCTATCATGGTATCCATTTA